GGGGCATACTGAAGTCTAATGAACCACATGCATTCTTTTCTCACTTATTTCACTGTCAGTCTAGACCTTCCTCATTAGTTCAGTCAAAACTGAGACCGTGATTCCACAAGATGGTAAATACAGTTTTGAAGAATTCAGCACTAAGTCAGAAACAACATACTTGGGTGACACAAAGTATTCAGCTACTACAAATTCACTAGCTACAACCATATTTGTTCAAAAAATGTGAGGAGGTCATTTTTGCTTTGCCAGCAAAGGCATAATCTATTCTCCTGCAGCCAGCATGAAACCAGCAACCATTTTTGTTTTCTGATTAATTACAAAAAATTGTGGCCATTTAGTCATGCTCAATCTGGATAAAATATACCGGTGGGTGATCTACAGCCCCGGAGGAAACAACCGTTTCAGCCCTTGTTTCTCTTATTTCTCACATCTCCTTGCAAGCTGGTGTGATATAACCTCTGAGAGGGCCATTATAACGAGTTTCTCCAGATCCTGCCTTATCAGAAGTCATCAAAAACAAGCAAAAAGTTGCTAAAACAAAAAACAAACTGAAGACAACTATGAAGACCCTTCACCTTTCCTACCCACTTCCCAAATTTAAGAGTTACTGATCTTGTAAAAAGTAATAGTGCAAAATTTTCAGTTCCTATCAAGCAGTTTTCTGATATCCTGAAGCATTTTGCTGGAATCTTTCTTGTGTAATTGCTTAAAAGCCAGATCTAGTCTAACCCAGTCACCTCGAGTGTCTCTAGAGTCAGTAGAGAGAAACTGGTACCTCCAGAGGGCAATCCACCCTATAGACACTTCTTTTAGGATGGGACAAATCACCCTCTGGTGGTGCCTTTCTCTCATCACTCCTGTTAGAGGGCATGAATGCAGTTTGCCTGAGTGGGTATCTCATTTCTGGATGACTCGTTTGGTAACATGGATCCCAGACTTTGTACCTAAAGGCTGTGGAGGTTAGTGGTGGTAACACAGAAAACAGTGCAGACTTCATTGTGTGTCAAATACCTAGATGGCCTAGACTGCCTATTCTTCCCCAGCATAAATAGGATAACTGCTGGGCCCTAATAAATGAAAATGTTAAGACAAAGCCATCCTACTCACCCCTTTCCTCCCCTCCTCACCCTTTACAAGAACAGATTAAAGTACTCTCTGCTTAAGGAAGCAAACGCTGAAAGATGCTGAGTATCTGCAACTTTGATACAACTAATCAGGTTAAACTCTGAGATCCTTATACCATTTATTCATGCAAATTCTAGTGTGCCAGATGCTGAGGAGTGCTGAATGGCTGCTCAGTGGAAGTTGTGGTTGCTCAGCACCTCCAAGACTTGGCATGTAAACTCCAGCCCTGACTTTGCTTATGGGAAAAACAAATCCAACCATCAGTCATGCAGGGTGTGCTTCCCTCCCCGCTTCATGAGCTGGCCTGGTGAAAATTCCTGGTGCTTATTGAAAGCATCATCTGATGTCACTCGACACCACAGGGGAAAATATAAATCACAGTGTAAGTATTCAGCACTCTCTCAGCATTGGCCTAATATGATTAATGTAATCTGAGGTAAACACTTTAGTTATTCCTTATTACTGTGAGGGACCCTAATCAAGGGTTGGGACTTGTTATTCTAGGTAGTGTGAAAAAACAAGCCCTACCCATGAGATCTCCAAGACTAAGATAAAGCTTGGGTAGAAGCTTAACAACAGTTACCTAACAGCAATGAAGAGACACAATGAAGTGTTGAATCTGAACCGCCTGAAAGGCATGTGGCAAGGGCTGCACCGTGCTCAGCAGAAAGCTTTCCTCTGGCAGCGGAGTAGGGCTGCGGTAACAGGGAGAGCGAGGCGATCCGGGATGAGATTGCAAGCACCAACCAAAGGGTTGGCTGGCCAAATGCCGTTGATGCTGAAGGGACCTACTTCTGCTTTCTACCTTTCAGAATCACCTCCTGGTTCAAAAAAAGCTGTTTTACGTAAAAGTCTACAGCTGAAATCTTTGTCTCAGACAATCCCAGCACACTGTGAGTTGTGTGGGCTGCTGTTGGGAGCAGGGATCAGACTTAACAACGTGGGCAGAGCTGCTCCTCGTGCTTTTGATGGTCTCTTGCCTCACATGAGGATAGCACACCTCAGTCACCATATGGATCAGAGCACAAATACTAAAGTGTCACAAGTATGAAAGCACAAGTCTAAAAGCCAAAGAATGGCCCCATTTTCAGTGCTTGCTTCACTCCCGGCTGGGTGTGATGGCAAATGATTGCTCTTGGAAAGGCACTTTGAGGTATTGCAGACTGGCAGCCTGCTGAGTCCAGCGGGGTGCAGGGACTAAATGCTTCATCCAGCCAAACCCAGTGGGAATATGTTGGAGCTCCGACGTTGTTTTGCTGACACGGGAAGATGTCATCACAGCAGAATATGAAGGAGTTAACGCATTATGAAATACAGTTTTGGCAGTGATGCAGACAAAGATTGTTTTGTTTGAAATGCAGTACCAGCAGTGTTGGTTAACAAGGTAATGTGGTCACCTGGCCAGCCTCAGTCATTACATTGAGCTTTATTTCTTCTAACATGTCAGGTCCAAATCCTACGAAGCCAACTACTTAACTTTCAGCCCACAGGTAGTTCTTTGTTTCAAAGTAAAGCAAGCTTAGTTTAATGTATATCTCTGGATAACGGCTGGTTGAAATAGCAAGCAGAAGTGCTAACGGAAGCCCATCTTGCACAGGAAGAGAAATGACAAGGTGCCAGTGTTTTAAGTAAAAAAGAATAAAAAATACAGGAAATAATTTTTTTAAACCTCTTGCCAGTCCTAGTCCTTTGCAGGCTGAGGAGAAGTTAGGAGGGCTGTACCATGCCTGCTTACACACACTGCTGAGGGCTCAGTGCACAAAATTGCACAACTAATTTCAGAATGACTTTTAGTGAGTCCAGGAACTCCGGCTGTCCTTCCAAAACTAAAAGGCAAAATTTTCAACATCACAGAGGACTAATAAACCACCTACACGCCTGCATCCACTGAGATCAGGAAAGCGCAGAATCCCTTACGGCTCAGAAAGTCTAGTCACATATTTACTGCTGATACCTGACTTTTGTAATCAGGGTTGGAACACTTCAGCTGAAAGGTTTGCATTCAGCACTTCCCTGGGCTAAGAGGCAGATCTTCTGTAATCGGGACTCAATTAGCTATGTGCCTTTCCAGCTGAAGATCTGGCCCTGTGGGCCCAATTCTTTACTTTTGCATAAGCCGGGGAGGTGACCCTTCTCACCAGCATGGCTGAAAATGGACTTTTGTATTCGAGTAGGCAGCTGTATCTCCCGGATTTTTCACCATGCTTGCACTCTCATTAAAGTACATGCTAAAGTTAGCACGCAAAAGCTATATTCTTCTGGAAGATCCTTGTTCATAAAAATCCTTTCTGAGCCCTGTATTTTGCAGTGAGTAGCAGTGAGTGCCTTGCTTTGAAAATACGAATCTGAGTCAAAGATTAGTCCACATTTCAAATATTAAAGCAGATTCTCAGATGGTATTTCATTGGAACAAGTAGGGCTATTCCAGTCTAGAGCAACTGAGGATCTGGGTCTAAAAAAGGGGCTATGAACTCTAATTAGATATAAATGAAGAAATAGGGAACTGCTTTTTTCATACCTCCATGCTGTCTTGTCTGTTGGTGTCACGACACTCAGATAGGTAGTAACTGGAATGAAGCCCAGTAGCCAATTTATACTTAACATACCATTAGTTCTTACTAATTCCTTTAACTTTGAGCACTTGCAAAAATTATTAGGAAAATCATCCATCCCATGCTTCAGTTCCTCACAAGCATCCAAGCATCCCTGCTTCACTGTTTGTTCCTGGATATGTCACTGCTTCGGTAACTTCCCATCTTAGGACAGTATTATAAATGATTGAGATGAGTTGAAGTTCAGAGGACACTGCTCTGTCATTTTCCCTCCATCAAGTAGTATCTCAATGACCAAATAGTTCACCTAAGGTCATGCTGAATTTCCCAAAGTAAGGTAAAACCCTGCACAGAGAAGGCTGGCAGTATTGGCTACTTTAATTTTAAGAATGTACAATAACGTGTGTGCATATCTAGGAATACAGAGGGGGAAAAAAATCCTGCATAGCGCACGTTAAATTGTGATTTTAATGGTGAAGACACAAGGCATCCCTTAGCTACCAAATGACCCAGGTTTGCATATTTTATCTTTAATAGGATTTCTGATACTATCACAAGGCTGGTCTTCATTCTCTGCCAAAAGGATCGGAAACCACTGGATCTAGTAAAAATATTTTTGTATGTCATACTGGCCTGTTAACTATTCAGCTAATTTAAAACATAGTAATAATTCCTGTGATTAGCAGCTACAGCATATCATGTCCAGATTCCTTTTTTTACTTGTAAGCGTAGGATACCTGTGCAAACAAAAGCAGAATTTGGCCTGGGATATAAGCAGAAGCTTTTACCTCTATATTACTTATTTCCCATTCTTAGACTGAGTGAAGTTGAAGTGAAATAAATATCAAAAGCCTTTAAAGGAAAAAAAAAAACCAAAACAAAACCCACATCCAAGGCAGATTTCACGACAGCAGAACAAGTATCGTTTTGAGTGGCAATGCACTGACAATAACTTTTGGCTTCAGTCCACATCAATCTGGAGGCCCAGCTACACAAGCCAAGCTGGCTCAGGATCACTTCTAAACAGGCAGTTATCACCTTCGGCGCAATAATATCCCAGAGGTCCAAATCGGGTCTAAGCCCTTTGCACAGGTGCGACATGCTCGCCCGGCGTAATCCTTCCTCGGCCGTTGTCTGTGGCAAAAGTCCCCCTGCTTCTCTGGCATTAGAAGTCTGTCTGGCGTCCCCAAACGTTCATGCTCCCTGCCTTTTCTCCTCTTTCCCACTTCGTTCTGGTTTTCTGCGTGTTGTGAAATCCTAAGGATTTTAATGCAATCCATCTTTTCCTCTTCCATCTGTCAACCTTTCCTTCCTTTACAGACTGGTTCTGAACCAACCCCTCAAGGACGAGTGGAGGAAACTCCCATGAGCAATGAGAGGGGTGACGAGCCGGCTCGTCATGTCTTCTCCTTCTCCTGGTTGAACTCACTGAATGAATGATGACTCACTCTGGCTGGCTTCTGGTGTGCTTCTCCTCGGAGGGACCGTGAGCGCAAGCAGCCTGGCTGCAATCAACAAAGAAACTGGCCTGGAAAGGGACATCCAAGCAGGTTTCGTTCCCAGGAACTCAGTTGACCTCCACATCCTACCTGGCCCTTGAAATGACAGAGTCCTAAGAGGGATGGGAGCATGGGGACAAATGGCTGTACTGTATCATAGTCAGAGTGTTTTCCAATAATTTCTTGTTTCCAAGGGGAAAATAGCATCACTACAGCTGTAGGCTGAGCACCGCTAATGTTTTGTTATTCACTTTTTGGCACGTCCCCGTGTAGGTGTAAATGCTTCACCAATGTTGTTAGCTGAAATGCTGGTAAGATATTCACTAGCAGCATCCGCTGCCAACACAGTGTTTCTCCTCCGTAGCCTCCTGCATCCCAGCTCATCAGTGATGGTGACTTCAGTGTTGCTGTCGCGCCCCTGGCACCCCCAAGTCAGGGTTGTGCCTAAGCACCTCCCTGCAGTCGCTCGTGGTTATTGTAGGGAAGGTGCCCGGTGGCAGGGATGAGGAAGGTGCACATGCCAAAAGAACTGGCCACCACCCCCTCGCCCCACGCGTGGATGCAAGACGCAGCTCTGAGCGCGTGGGGCAGGTGCTGGAGTGCTGCCCACGTCTGCCCGGCCATAACCTGTGTCTGCATCGTCACAGTCACCCATGCGTGTAGGAAAAGGGGCATTTTCTTACGTGAAACCAGGGTGCAGTGGGGTGGTCACAGACAACAACGCAAGGTGTAATTTGAAGGCCCCGTGGTGCACCATTGAAGAGGAGAGTGCTGAATGTCCCGTTCCGTGTATGTGGCAGATGTGGAGCCGTCTAACAAAATCAAATTTGTGTCTTGAAAGAAGCTCTACAAGATGTACCAAAGGTGACACTCTGCAAGTTTTGTCGCTGGGGAGAGGGTGTGAGCTCTCAGCAGTGTTCAGGAGGGATTGGCGGGCTGCCGGGAGCGCTCAGTGCCATGGGGCACCAGGTGTCAAGTTCTGCGCTAGGGTTAAGCATGGATCTTTCCAGGATCCCCGAGTCAGGCCCTAAACACATCGTTTTGGCAGGGGACTGTGCCAGGCCATGGGGCTGCCCTGTGCCCCAGCAGGACGGGTGAGATGGCAGTGCAGACCCAACCCAGGCTGTGAGGGGTCAGCCCCGGTCCTGGCCATCCCTTGCTACAGGGCTGAGTTCCACCAACCCCCCTTTATAGCTGTTTCCCCTGGAAGACGCTGAGGTGAGAGAAGTTTTGGAGGGCTGTATAGGCAAGGTCTGTGCTGAATCTTTGAGCCTCAGCCCAGAGCAAGCGCCACTCCACAGCGCTATCACCGCCACATCGACCCCAGCTGCCAGAGCAGCTTTGTCCCCCGGGATGTGGTTTGGGGCGAGGGATTTCCTATTTTCTCCCGGTCGTCCTGGAGGATTTCTCCCCATTCCTTCCGGCAGGTTTCTCCACATCCACTGCCACCTCCCCAGCGCCCCGGGCAGGGACCCGGCTTGGGCACCGCCGCCGGGGCGGGGGGAGCCGAAAAGCGGGGAGGACCTGACCTTCTGGGGTGCGGGGAGGACGAGCGGAGGTAGCGGGAAAAGGCAGGGGAGGTGCGGGAGCGCCTCACCGGTTTCCCGTGGCTGCGCTCTGGCAGG